GACCGAAAGGTGCGTTTCGTTTCTAAGGGATGATAAACACCTGGGTACATTTACGGATCCAGTCACGTGGTTTGCGACCAAGCTGATAATTTTCGCGAACAGGACATCTTCCGGCGTGCGGAAATTATTTGTCTGAACTAGTGTCATACCACGTTTTTGAATTAACTATGTCAAAAACAGCAATGATAGCCCGGGGACGGCGCCACAGATTGTGAGCGGGGGTAGAATTTTCCAGGGAGCCTTCTGGACAAAATAGGGCCCGCTTCGCGGGGGGAGGGGGCTCCCGCGCAGTGTCGTATTCACCGGGGAGAGACATGTGCTATCTAGTGTTGTCTAGTGATATATAGCGTGCTATCTACTAGCATGTGCTCTCTTATCAAACTATGACATTTTTTAAAATAAATTTATTCCGAATGGTTTGCATGGGTGACTGGGTTTATAGTACCTGCTAAGCATAGCTTGTTGCGTGCACCGTGAACCCACCACCCAAGTCGCACCGCCCAGTTCAACGGATAATTTCGCCTCCGCCCTTGGGCCAGACAGGAATGCGGAGGGTTTACGTGCCGCACAATGCTGCGACACGGCCGCCCCGGGTCTGGGCCGACATTTGTTAGCCAGTTGCCAGCTGACCTTTTTCATTTCAGTCGGGCCAAACGACGCGCCTGCTCTGAGATTCGTACCCAGTGCCGCTGGATTACCAGTCCAGCATCCTTCCCCTAGACCACAGTGGCGGCATGCATGAACCATATCCCAGTCAATAAACCTCGACAGCTGAAACATCCGGAATAGGGGCTTTCAAGTAAGCCAGCAAGGAATCTCACTTTATAAAAAACCGGGCCTCCTGTTCCCCAAAAGGGACTCTTCAGTCATACGGGGCCTAGTAATAGAGAAGAAAAGTGCTCCTGATTAACGAGAAACTTCTAAATCTACCCAATGGTCCTCGCTTTCCCGTCTCAGGGCGTCGTAATCCGAAAACCGCGGTGATCTGATGTGTGAGAGGGGTTCTTATTCCAGAAATAAGGCTTCTCGAATGCAAAAAAAAAATGTTTTCTAACACAGAACAGGAGCCTCCAAGCTTGCAGCAGGGCCTCCCGAGCCAGAAATGGGCATCCTTAACACAACGTTGGGTTTCTTGATCTTGAGCATTGACTGCCTTATTCATAAAGGTGACCTCATGATACAGAAAACTAGGTAGACTAGACGAGACTAGACTAGCTAAATGTAGCAAAGGATCCTCTGAGCCCGATTGACCACTCTATAGCTCTGTCATGAATTTCCTTACCCTGAATTTGGGTACTCTACGGGTAGCAAGGTGTCTTCCAAGTTGCTTTCGGAAAAGGACAAAACCATGCTGTTGCAAAAGCATACTCTACCCCACCGGCAGGCAGGGAGGCCAACTGTCCCTCTGCCCCCTCTGCCCTCCCCCCGCTGTGCAGCCCTGCTGCAACCAAGAACATAATCCTAACAGAACCCAACAATAGTCAATTACGCTCAGCAACTAAAATGGAACAATGCACATTGACCAATACTTGTACGAAATTGAGGCTATAAAACAAGATTCCTCAACTAGGAACGTAAGCTTTTCTGTCAAAACAGCGATGAAGATGAGTTTATTGTCACTGTGATGCAAAAAGTGTACTTGCCGTTTAAAGAACCGCCACGTGCATGCTTATTATATCGTTGTTGCGCGCCTGCTATTTACTTAAATTTCCGTTCAATGGGTGTATGCTATTTTGTGAGCCACTCTCATTTCATCTGGGCTAGTTTCACATCAGAAAAACGAAGTGGTAAATGACCATTCTAAAGAATAACTTTTACTCAAATGCGCGAGATTGTGCATCACTAAATAACATCATATTCCGCCGCACGCGGCGAAGCGCTTCCTCCTTGCAGTCTGAAATATTGATATCATCCGAAATCGTTGAACTCCGCGCAATGGTAAAGAGAAGAGGCTAAAAAAATACCAAAAAGCATATTGGTAACGGGATTCAAGATGAGGCTCAAACTTTCCCCTATATTGTTCCAAAAATTGTAAGGGACGTCAAAAACAATGCCGCTGTTTCAGTTAATGGTGTCATGCATTTGCCCGAGTTTAACTATGCGTGACTGCTTTCTAGGTCATAGGTGATACATATCTCTTGACAAAACAGTTAGTGGAAGAGCAGTTTTCGGGTATCGCCTTCCTCCAAACACATTGGCTGCAATGTGTAAAATATCGCAAAAAACGCATGTAGCTGCGCAGACACGCCAATTGTCGGGGCGGAAGCCCAACTTCGGTAGAGCGCTGAAGTCATACTGACTTCATTCATGATGTGAAAAGAATGGTGAAAGTTTCGCCGTCAATAATAATTGTTCGCACATAGCCTATGGCATAGGACCATTTGGCTGTTGGCTTGATGGTATCAGCCTTGTTGTAAGGCGGCCGACAGTCGTGTAGTGACATGGCACGGTTAGGTTCCTTTCGTGCTCTTTGAACAAGGGACCGAGGCAAAATGGATCCGTTGAATCAGGACAAAGTCAGATTAAAAATCCATCCCAGAAAAGTTTTTGTTTTCCGCATTGCCTCTTATTTTGTTGCCATTGCCTCTGAGCTGGACCTATCATCTGAACTAACGATGCCGCTCTCCAAAAAGCTGCTCGATTTGTTTTTTTATGATACAGCACAGCAATGCGGATCTCAACTTCAAGTATAGCAATGCAATGTTCGTAGGCCGACATGGACAGAGGGCCAAATATCGCTTAGCATAAGAGTCTCTACGAGGCCGGTGAATCAGTACGGTCAATATCATAGACAACACAAAACAAAAAGTGAAATATAGAACAGTTTGCCCGAATATCTAAAATAACCCCTAATTGGAGCAAATAATCTAGAGGTTGCGGCTTCGGGTTTCCCGCTGCGCCTCCCGTGGTGATGCCACTTCGAGGAACGTTTAAATGATATTGTCTTCGTATTATGGATAGCTTTTTCCTACGGTTTTATAATATTCCGGCCAAAAGTATTGGGGGGCCCCAAACAGATATTGGGGGCCGACTGAACATTGGGTGGACAGGGCCCTCACAAAAGAATGCAACTCGACACCCGTGGTTTAAGACATAAGAGTGGGGTTTGCTGGTGTGCTCGAAAGAAGTTTTGTCCATATGATATATTTTTCCGAGTGCCGAGTGCCTTGCCTGCTGTCTTGCTTTTTGTGTGTGTTGTGTTTCTATACATGTATGTGCAAAGATATGTACCAGTCTGGTGGTGTGAAATAAACTGCATAATTATTATTGGTATCATCATTTTCAAGGTGAACTGCGTTTGTAATATGATAACATCGAGGAACTCTCAAGGCAGAAGACAATTCCGTGTGTCCTTTTGAGTCGCATATTGCGTGCGTCTCGCTGCATCCTGCACAGGGGCAGGAAAAGCACCGATGTGTTTGACATCCGTGGGACGAGCAAGACTTGCCCTGTAAACTGTCCCGTGCGCATACGCAGCCCCGTTCTTTGGCTCTTCAGCGTGGAGGCACCAGCGGCAGATCGTACGTTGTCATGGTAACTGCGCCGGCGCCGACGATCAAACTATCGATTCACTGGGATCACCGTGGTTGTGTCGCACGCGCCCGGGGGCGTTGTCGGCGTAAGGCGGCGCCGGCAGCAGGGCTGGCGGCGTGATGCCATGCACTGGGGTGGGGGTTTGGTAGTTAGCGGTTTTAGTTCATGACCCGGTCAGGGGAAGACGAATCCAATGAGTCGTGCTGAGCCTCGTGAGCCGCTGAAGAAAAACTGGCAGCGAGGTGTTCAACATATTGGCTCAAAGCCCTCAAGGTAAGCAGAGTTACCGAGGCTCGATATGTTGGTGCTGTGATTTTTGTGCATTATCTCCCTCAATAAGCAGTCCTGTAGCGCTAAGTGTTTATCTGATTGCTTGCAGCTTTGCTAGAAATCGTGTTCGGGGTGTGCTCAGCGTTCAATAATGCGCTTGTTTAGTAGTTCATCGAGGTCACACAACCAGCCACTGGGCCAAGCCGATGCGTGGATGCCATGCGAAAATCAATTGCCAGGCAGGAAAAGGACGTGCAGCATATGCACTGCAGCATCTACATTGCACGCCGCCCTCGCAGTATTACCTGGCGGAATCACGCGCTATTTACATTGATTATATGAAGGCGAGCCCTGACAAATGTGCCGGTAAGATGGAAAAAGACGGCAACATATCCGTCATCCTGAAAAATCAGCTCTCATATGACATTTCTCTGATAGGTGTATATACAACACGAGAACGGGAGGCCAGGCGATTTCAGCCGGTCGGCCAACAGCGCATGTGTTTTCGTGGCATGGTGTCAAAGGGGGCCTGGGAGCACGCGGTGACTAGCTTGGTTAGGTGGAATGCAGTACAAAAGCCAAGCTCGCCGCTTTTTGTGCGCCATGAACGATAAGAGGACGTCAGTTAGGTCGTTTGCAATGTGATTCCCAACACTGAATTGTGGTAGCAGCGCCGGAAGCACAAGCAAGGCGCATTTACACACAATTTTCTCGCTTTCACGTTACACTCTGTTTGCACGCAATTCTTCTGTGACGGGAGCCTGGACAAACCAAACATTATCAGCCGACGTTCAAAGAAGTTGTTGAATCCAATGTCGCATCGCAAACGCAACACGATACACCCACGGCACGGGACTATCGGCCGTCGCAGACAGCGCGACGCGAGCCCAAACACAGCTCAGCGGAGCATTGTGTGCCCCGCGGCTCCGTAGCTGCGGCGCATGTTGCCGACTCCGGCATCGACCTCGCCGGCCTTTCCTGGCAAAGGTCGTAGAAGGTCGCAGTCGGAGCCGTCCCCGCTCCGCTTGACTGGCCAGTGCCAGATTCCAGACCAGACCCGTTCCAGATTCAAAACGGCGTGCTCGTGCCCTACGGCAGGAATACACGTGAGCTGACGACGGGTCGCAGCACGAAGCGCCCGTTTCGCTGGCCGATCGCAAGGGGCCGTCACCGTCGGTGGGCGCAGTCGCAGTCAAGCCCATGAAGCAGGTCATCGCCATCCCTCATCACCAAAACGCAGCTGCAAACATGTTGTACAAACAAGGGCGCGATGCGTAAAGGTGCCGCCTTTTCATTGCGTCCGTGTTGTGATGCATGCATGCTATAGGCGGCAGAGTGACGCTGCGCCTTCGTCACGCCTTCCAACAACTTGTCTTCCAACTTCACGGCACCAAATGGCTTGAGTATTTCCCTGCATGCGGGATTGCACGAGCGTGTGAAACACCGTGGCGTGTAAGCTACGGAAGGCATCTGCTGCACTATGCTTTCCCATGTTAGCGAGGTGTTCGCCTTGGAGTGCAGTGCCACTCAGGATGGCGTTTGAAAACTATCATACAGGAAGCCATTCGAGCTCTTGGAGCCCGTTCTGAGTATGGATCCGTGAAGAAGTCGTGCGGAGCTTCAACACTGTTCTTCAACATTGTTTCAACACGTCTTTGTAAGCATGACATACCAGAACATAATGCTGTTCTCTAAACTTTTGAGTTGTTTTTTTCTGGATGACTGTGACCCCCGCCCTCCCTCCCAAACAAAAACAACATGATATTGTGCCTTTCAGACACAAATGGACAAGTGGTGACGATATACACAGGGAGCTAGTCAGCTCGGGCAAGTTATGACCAACATGGAGAAAACGAAACGCAGAGGTATGATTTTCAAATTACTCTGGGGCTTCAGGACGATGTGGCAGCCATCCATTGTCTGATTGCCACGTTTTGTACCAGGGACTTGTACAAGGAAGCGCTGACGCTGAAATTGATGGAAAGTAGGAAGATCCACTTGTCACGGATTGTGTACTTTTAGACGAAAAGAGCTGTGTCTGAAGCAGCCTTGCCTTACCTCTCACCTGCGGTTTTGGACGGCTGCCGCCAGGTGGGTGGGTACCGGCCGGGGCCGTGTTCACTTGCCGCCGGTACCTGCTGTTCGCCGTGCTGCCCGTGGTGGTGCTCCTCTACTGGGTCAACTCGCAGTACGGCGTCGGCTTTCTGCCCGTTCCGCCCGTGTTACGTCTGGTTCAGCCGCAGCGTGAGTGATGCCGGGGCCACGTCGACAGGAGGGGTGCCCAGAGGCCTAGTCGGATCAGGTGTGCACCGACCCTAAGCAGCCCTGCTACAAGAAGAGTACGTGTAGACTGAGTGATCGCACCTATTAACCGGACTAGATTCTTGTGATAAACTTTGGAAAATCATTGCATAGTTAATTTTGTTATCTAATGGGCGTGTTCTTGCGGTCATTTGGTATCCTTTGTGGCGGGCGATTGCACACGAAATGGAAGTGGAATGCGCGTAAAACAATGAAACATGAAACGTGCCTCAACATGCATTAGGTGACGGAGGACAGTAATCCAAAATATACATTATCCTCACCAGCGTAGAAGTACAAGACGAAGTGTCACAATATGTGCTCGGAACATTTCATGCTGCAAGCCCCTCATCAAAAAAGGTCCTCGCATGGCCGGTTGATTGAAACGATCGAGCGTCACGCGTCACGGAGCCCCCGCGCCGTCTGCCGAAACCCCTCGGCTGTGTGACCACCGTGTCAGCCCCCCCCCCCCCCCGCCGCCACCAGAGGCGCGCGGCCAGTACCTGGTGGACACGCCCACCTGCCGCATTCCCAACGTGGACCCGTTCGACGCCTCGGTGCGCGAGTTCGCCCGCCCGCCGGAGCCGATCCTGTGCAACCGCGAGCCGCCGCCGCTCACCTACAGCGACATCGACTCGGTGTACCTGCTCAGGGAGCGGCAGCACCTGTACGGCGCCAGGTCAGACGCCGCGATCGATGGCCGGCTGAGGCCTGATGGGAAGTGATACCGTGTGGTCTGAAATATCCATGCATTCAGTCCCGTATTGCTGAAACGTTAAGTTTATCTTTGTTTTTGATTGAAGGGTCTTAGCTTTTACTGATGTGCTCGGTGTGCTCGATATAGTACTGATGTGCTCGTTAAGCAGACAGTTGTTGAGGTTTAGATGCATTACAAGCTCCTGACAGGGCATATCGGGGTCAGAGGTCTCAGGTCCCCACAGCACCTTCGTCACCGCCCTACCACCTGCAGCAGGGAAAACCTTTCGATTATTGCACATTAACTGCGTTTCCCATTGATTACCACTTTTCAGCGACGACAGGCAGCGATGGGCATCGTTGCATTGCCGCGATTCACAAAGATGGCATAACGCGCTTGATCAGCACAGGCAATATGAAACTAGGCCCACGTGTCCTCTAGCTGCGGCTTGGCAGCAGGACGTGGCGGGATGCAACTGTAGCAAGGGGGAGTGTCACCTGAGAAAATGTCGCTGCCCAGCTGGGAAAATAAGCTTTTTCACAAGCAGTGGCGGCGCCACTAATTTGAGATTGGGGGGCAGGATTTTCCAGCGGGCTCCTGGACAAAGTGGGGCCTCGGCACAGGGGGGGGGGGGCCTCTGCGCACTGTCGTGTTCAGGGGGAGCGGCACCGGGGGCGTGTGACCCATCATCAAATTGTTTCACATACCATATTTAAGTAGACAGATGTTGACAATTAAAAATCCTGAAGTGGGTGTTCTTATTATCCAGCAAAGGGCCTCGCTAACCTAAAACAGGATCTCGTTCCAGAAATGGACTCCTCAAAACGTTCCGAATTTACGAAGTGGGCTTCCAGATTTAGCCAATGAGCCTCGTTGTCCCGAAACAGGACGTCCTGATCCGGAACTGCGGACACCTGATGCATGCAAAGGCATTCCGTTCCATGAATGTTCCAGAAATGGGGCCTCCGGCACATAGAGGATACCTCGTAACCCTGAACAGGAACCGTTTTTTTTGTAACGGGTGTCTGCCGAGCCAGCAAAAGGCCCTTAATATGATAATGGCCACGTGATCTAGAAAATTGGCTACCTTATCCATGAAGGTGGTCTCATGATGCATAAAACGGGTCTCCTGATGTAGCGAAGTGTCTTTTGGGCCTAATTTATTAGTCTGTAGCTCAGTCATAGGACCTCCTTGACCTGGATTTTACTACTCTACAAGTAGCTACAATGCCTTTAGTGTGTGAAAAACCCAAATAGGGGCCTCCCAAAGATTGGGGGGGAAGAGCACACTCTTGCCTTCTCTGTCCTCCCCCCCCCCCTCGCTGCTGCGTTGCCCTTGTTCGCGCATTTACGCTGCAGCTGTCACCTTGGCCCTTTGTTAGCTCATCTGCGCGCGTTCTTGGGCATAATGCGGCCAAAATATCATCACCTGAACGATATTTTCATCTCGGGATGTGACCAACTGGCCGGGGGGGGGGGGGATCGGGCCCAGGTGCCCCTCGCGATCAGCTGCCTATGCCCCCGCTCGCGTGCGCAGAACGGTGGGCTGCGGGAACAATTGAGAGCGATGGTGTACCTGCATAAACAGACTCCAGATGTCAGGACTGCACAGCTGGTCCAGCGAAGAGAACTCATCGGTTGACATGGCTGATGACAGGAGTTAGTCCCTCGGAATTTTCGGGGTTGATCGACTTACTGGTGACCGTTTATTTTTGATTCCATGATGTTGATCATATTGTCTCTTCCCCTTAATTTGTGCTATGCAATGTGCTGATTCCGATGATTGCGTATGTTGCAGGCCACCTTTGACTTCAGCATCCTGCTGTACCCGAGACATAGACTGGATCAACGATCTCAACAGTTCTATCCCTCGAAACACGATGGGCAGAGTACGGTAAGCTTGCTGTACTGCCAATTTTCTTCTATCATAAACTATTACAATGCTAACTGAATGCTGGATGCAGCCTTTCCCAGAATTACAAAAATGGTCGTTGCTATAGTAAACGGCAACCCTTGGTCTACCTATGGATGCCGTGTCTAAAATGCGTTGGACGCATAATTCACTTTAAGTTACTTAATGGACACGATGCGCGGTATCTCCTTAAGATGCATCCATTTTTGGGACATCTGGCATGTCCTTCATCTCCGAGAGGTGGCCATCACAGAACCGTCGGCTGACGAGCAGCCGCGTCCCGACCGCGACCACGTCTCGTCCGCCAGCGACCGCCGACGCCGCGTCGGCCCTCGCGTGACACTGCCACCTTCCGCAGGAGGTCGCCACGGTGCCGGCCGCTCCTGGGCAGCTACACACCAAGCGCCGACGGCGTGGAGGTGACCTGCGCCGTGAACAAGACGATGGTGTACCGCGACTACTACCACTTCGTGCCGCTGCGGCCGCAGCTGGAGGCGGCGAGTCTGCAGCGACGGCCGCAGGACGTGGCGCCCAACGTGCTGATCTTCATGTTCGACTCGCTGTCTCGGCTGCAGTTTCTGCGCTGGTTCCCGCGCTCGCGCCGCTTCCTCAGCGATCGGATGGAGGCGTTCGAACTCGGCGGGCTCAACAAGAATGGCGACAACACCTGGCCGAACCTGGTGCAGATGTTCACCGGCATGGAGCAGGCCGAGATGAAGCGTCAGTGCGCACCGGATCCCAAGAAGGACCCGCTTGACGGCTGTCCGTTCATGTGGAAGGAGTTCAAGCAGGCGGGGTACCGCACGGCCATGGCCGAGGACGCGCCAGGGATGGGCTCGTTTAATTACCTCAAACTGGGGTTCCTGAAGCAGCCGACGGACTACTACACGCGGCCCACCAGCCTGCTGTTGGATGCCAACATTGCCTACAACAAGCAGCTCAACACGAACCTGTGCGAGGGAACGCGATACAGCTACTTCTCCACCTTCAAGTATGCGCTGGATCTCGGCACGCGTCTGGCGGACCGACCGTACTGGGGTTTCGTCTGTCAGAACGTGTTCTCGCACGACTCATTCAACATGCCCTATTTCCTGGACGAGCCGTACTACAAGGTGCTGGAGTCGCTGTTCAGCAGCGGCGCGCTCAATAACACCGTCCTGGTCACCATGGGCGACCACGGCCTGCGCTGGGGCCGCGAGCGGCAGACCTTCATCGGCGGCCTGGAGGAGCGGCTGCCGTTCATGAGCCTGTACTTCCCGCGCTGGCTGCGTCGCCGCTACCCAGCCGCCTTCGACAACCTGCGGGTCAACCAGCACCGCCTGAGTACCTTCCGCGACGTACACCGCACGCTGCTGGACCTGCTGCGGCCGGACGAGACGCTGGGCGGCGTCGATACGCGCGAGGCGGCCGAAAATGCCTCCAGTGTCAGCCTGTTCCGGCGCATCTCGCCATACCGCCGCTGCGACCACGTGCAGGTACCGGACCACTTCTGCACGTGCCTGCGCTCTGAGAAGATCGCGGCAAGCGACGGACGCGCCACGCTCGCCGCTAAGGCCGTGGTGCGCGAGCTGAACGTGCTGCTGCGCGCGGCCCCGCAGTGCGCGCCGCTGAGGCTCCAGCGCGTGCTCACGGCGCGCATTGCACAGCCGCTCAAGGGCGATCCGAAGAAGAGCGCGCCGTTCCTGCGCCAGATGACGACGGTGCAGCTGCAGACGGCACCGGGCGGGGCACGCCTCGAGGCGACTGTGCTCGGCGACGGCCACGAGCTGCACATCAGCGGCAGCGTGTCGCGGCTGGACCGGTACGGCCACCTGGCGTGGTGCGTCAAGGACCACCGCCTCGAGAAGTACTGCCACTGCGGTGGCGTGTCGCGTCACTCGACGGCGCGGCCGGTCCCGCCGACGGCCGGCGCGGCGTCCGACGTGGCGACCGCGGCGCCCGACGCGGCGACCGCGACGGGCCCGGCCGTGTCTGGGGCCACGGTGCCAGGGGGAGCTCGGGCGGGTTCGCCGCCGGGGGCTGGAGCGCTTGGGAGCACGCCGTCAGCGACCAAACCACCAGTGGAAGAGGCGCCTGTGACTAAACCGCCGGCGGGTAAAGCGTCCGGGTCTGAACCGCCAGCGAGTGAAGCGCCAAGCCCCAAATCGCCAGCGAGTGAAGCGCCAAGCCCCAAATCGCCAGCGAGTGAAGCGCCAAGCCCCAAATCGCCAGCGAGTGAAGCGCCAAGCCCCAAATCGCCAGCGAGTGAAGCGCCAAGCCCCAAATCGCCAGCGAGTGAAGCGTCAAGGCCCAAATCGCCAGCGAGTGAAGCGCCAAGCCCCAAATCGCCGGCGAGTGAAGCGCCAGGGCCCAAATCGCCAGCGAGTGAGGCACCAACGTCCAAATCGCCAGCTAATAAAGCATCTAGGTTCAAATCGCCAGCGAGTGGAGCGCCAGGGTCCAAATTGCCAGCCAGTGAGGCGCCTGAGTAAACTGCCAGCGAGTGTAGAGCATAGGTCTGAGCCTTCAGCAAATGAAGCGCCTGGGTCTAAACCGCCGGCTGCCAAAACGTCTGTGTCTGAACCACCGGCGATTCTCAGTCACCAGCGACTGAGCCCCAGCGAAGCCAGAACGAGCGCCAGTGACTGAGACCGGTGGTGGCCAGCCTGTCTGAGTGCCTGCCGGCCCAGGGTGGGATGCAGTGGCGGACAGCGGCGCTTTGTCCTCCGCTCGCTGGTAACAGGGTTGCACGTGATATGCCGGCTGTTGTAGGATGGACGGGCGAGTGTTTGGGATGCACTGCGGGGGCGTGGGGATCTGAACAGGGTTGAAGTACGTGGTGAGGGCTCTTGCGTGGTGCTGGAGTGGGGATGATCCTTGATGGCGAGGATGTTTTTGTTCGGGAGAAGGCAGGTTAAGGATTTGGCTTCATGTCCGGTATTGTCGCAGGGGCTGGCCCAGGCCAATGTCAAGTTCCGTTTCTGCCACTGTGTACGGCGCAGGTCTGCTGTCACCCGCCGGTCATCCGCTCCAGCTCACCTGGGTCATCACGGGTGTTCTGCGACCGACTGCAATGGCGCTGGCAAACCTGCGTAGGAAGTTACGCTCAGGCAACTTATTTCGCACAACGATGAGTGATGGCGTGGATTATGCCAACCGCTCCCGAACTGTCCGCCAAGAAGCTGTTCACCACTCAGCAGTTTCCCTCTTGGTAGAGTTTTGTCACGCTGCGCACGCATATCGATGTCTGGTTTCTCACGTGGGGCGCGGGGTAAAGGGTACCAGTGTGGTCACTACGACGACCCCGCTTTTGCGCACCTTGCTGTAAACGCCAACCCGCGCCATCCACCACTCACCATTATGCGAGGAGCCCGTCGAACCATATCACATGCCCGGTAGTCCGGGAGGTAGTGCCGGCCGTGCAAAGCGTTGCGCTGGTTGTGTGAGGAATCGTGAACTTGGTCAGAAGGTTGCCTGAATAACGGTAATTTACTTGCTAGTCTCCTATGAGACCAAAGATGCAGGTCGAGCTTATGCATTCGCACTTTAAGATGACCTCACTAGGGTTTTTAGTCGCATTTCCACAGCAGGAAGTCTTTTACGTAATAAAATTATGCAAAACCCAGGTAGATGGTGAGGGACCTGAATTGTTGGGTGAATTGTTAATATAGCACCAAACAATGCATAGGATTCAACAGCACCAAACAACATCACCAAGATGAAGGCTTCGAGCGTTGAGGTCTAGTCGGCTGTTCGATGACACCCGCGAGGTATGGGATCTTCTCACGAGCGCTCATCAATAATGATCACGGTTGTTTAGCATTGGCATAACGCCAGCTAAAGCAGCGCGTCGCTGGCGCATCGTGCACTCGTGTTTTTTCCTGCTATGGGCGGAAATGGTAAATGTGGGTATGTTATAAAGGAAAAAACGGTGACAGAGAACAACCGAAAACAAAAGCTAGAGAGCAACCGCGGAACGCACTCGCCCCTCAGCGCAGAGCAGTCGCGGGGGCCTTGCTCTGCGAAAGCGGTCTGTGGGACCTCCAACAGTGATTTCGGAATGTGAGGTGACCCTTACCATAAATCGCCATAAGCCTAATGTTCGAATCGGTAGTGATCATGGGGTCCAAGCGTGCAGCTGAAAACCAACGGAAACTTCACAGCAATCCCATGCACATTTTGACTGACCAGGCGCAGACGTTGCGCGAGAATGAGCCGGCAAGTAAAGCGCTGGTCACGGCCTGTTGTTGCAGGCCGGTCAATTGCGGGGACATTTGCGCAACGGCAGGCTTTATCGACCCTCGCCATGCAATTCATTGCCTCGGGCATTTCCTGGACTCGGGCTGCTAGATCGTGTGGCTTAATTCACGGCTGCATGCGTCTGTTGGCAGCTGTATTCCAAGCGTTGATTACACACGGTCCATAAGAGTGATTTACGTCCAGTGTAGCTACGTCGGTGCACCCACGATTCCGGTGCAGCGGGCTGACCGAATCATAAATTTTACAATAAACCAAAAATGGCGCGAGAGCCGAGGGTGGACGTCGCTTCCTTGTCACTAATTCGAAGTTGTGAAGACCTGGAAAGGAGCTGAAGACTATCTGCGCAGCAGAGTTTTCTTTTCCGTGTCAAACTCGTTGGCTAGACTTTGGTAACACTCATTGGCTGGTTCGCCTCAATGCTGTTGTGGTGTATGTTTTCCGATATATGGCTGCGTCGCAGGAGACAGGTCCAACTATTTAGTCGAGCGTCCTTCATGCCTCCTTGTGACAACTGAATGAGGTTTAATCGAGAGCAAAAAAAAATTGTCACATCAGGCTGACCTTTCTCCGCGATAGTTTTTAGGCCCATGGGTTCCGAGATGGCTCCCTCAGAACAATCGAACTCTGGGAACGTCCCCGTGGCGTCCGTCGATCGGCTGGACGATGCGGTCCTGCATGGACCCGCTGCACGCCGGAACAATGGCGAATCGATGAGGCAGCGTTCGGGACCCGTGACAGTCGGCGCCCTCACACGCAATTGCCTACGGAGGTGGCACTCAGCATGCGAACGGGCGTGCGGATCGCGGGACACGGTGGCGGCGGGGCGACGGCCGAATAGCCAGGCTGTGTCGCAGTCCTGTCGGCGGTCGCAGTCGCAGCCCACACGTGCGGACGCGTGCGGATCGCGGGACACGGCCGGCGGCGGGGCGATGGCCCGGAATAGCCAGGCTGCATCGCAGTCCTGCCAGCGGTCGGAGTGGCAGCGCGCACGTGGGGGGACGCGCGATCGCGGAAAACGGCGGCGGTGGAGTCGACGGCCGGAATAGTCCAGGCTGTGTCGCAGTCCTGCCAGCGGTCGCAGCGGCAGCCCGCACGTTGCGGCGCGGACCGCGGGACACGGCGGCGGTGGGAGCGACGGCCGGAATAGCCCGGCTGTGTCGCAGTCCTGCCAGCGGTCGCAGTGGCAGCCCGCACGTGCGCGCGGATCGCGGGGCACGGCGGCAGCGAAACGACAGCCGGAATAGCCAGGCTGTAACGCCAGTCCTGTCGGCGGTCGGAGTAGCAGCGCGCGCGTGCAGACGTAATCGGGACACTTCGCCAGCGTGCTTAGAACGAAATTGTACGGAGGGCTCCAGTCGCTCCCGAAATACCGGTCATTTACCGAAATACCGGAGTTTGGGTGGGATGAAACTACAGAGACCGGCTGTGGTTCATTCATGTTTCAGCTTAGCTGAGCAGTTCCAAGTTGTCCTGTTCAGCATTTTAACGACAGATAACCGCCAATAAGAAACTTGCTTCCACACGACGACGGAACGACGGTATTCTCCCTCAGCACGCTTGCAATCCTTACATCACGCAGAAGTGACGAAACAGGCTGACTTGAGGATAGCTTGAAAAGTTCTTGGTCGGCTAGGATCTGGCGACCTTTATTCGTGCGGCCTGCTGTATCCGCTGCTCTTTCTGCTTTCCCCGCCCGGGGCTGGTGTATAACAGTTGCCCAAAACATGGAGTAAATTCTTCCGCAGGTGCCGAGCTGATGTCACACTGCGGAACGGTGGGGGTGCCTAGAGGGCCGCGCGCAGAAGCCGGCGCTGTATGCTCCCTTACCCCCATAGAAATGTAAATCAACACAGCTCTAGAAGCTTACAACACACTGCGGTGTTACGCACTGAGGGTATAGTGCTGAGGCAGGCTGCTAGGACAGGACCGCCATGGACTTGCAGCCTACTAAGATGTCAATCCCCGGTGTGCTTTTCCCAGTCCCTCGAGATGCCGAGATCTTACAACTTATAATTCCTCGCTGGGAGATGGTCCTCACATATAACGGGATCGTTTTTTTTTTTCTCGTGGAATCGGTAGCCTAGTTGGTTGGGTTGAAGCGCCTGTTACTCGGATTTACTCACCCTTGGCAAGGTGGGCTCGAGTTGTCTTAAAGGGAATGTTCCGCATTTGAGGATATTGAAGCAAGGTCAGACATCATGAAGAATAACATCACTTATGATAAGTATACTTGTAAGTGAAAAAGACTGCTTAAGATAACGAATTGCTCTCATTTAGTACTGATGCTTCTCAACAGGTCATGGTTTGCGTCCTGGAAACTTGTATGACAGCACTCACTTGCCGCTCTTCGATATCCCAAGGAGTTGCCAACGGAGTGCTGGATGCCTGTCGAACCAACTAACGTTAGGATCCAGTATCTTGGTCCTTCCTCGTGGTATTATTGGCTGTCTGTCCTGTGAGCTTAGGGTGTTTACTGACATTCACATACACGATAGTGACCTTATTCTTAAGCTATTCGATTACACTTCTTATTTCCCTGACGACTAGCGTCCATGTCCAACTTCTTATACAATGCAGCGCAAAACGTCATTTGTTGTTAAAGGGATTGTTTCACATTTATA